TCCTCCATCTCCTCCTTTTAGTATTTTGGGCATGCATGCATGCACTGCACCCAGCATGTTTCTCAAGCAGCTGGGTCTAGGACTCAGAACTGTGGGGTTAGCCATAGGGGATCCAGTTCAAGCCACAGACTGGTCCTTAAGTTTTAATTTATTTACTCCATGTGAGAGAGAGACAGGCACCCTCAGTGGAACCCCAGCCTTTCCAGTGAGCGAGGATCATGGGCATGCGTGCACCTAGCAGGCACAGGCTGACCCATGAACTGAACCTTGATATTGCATATGGCCTCAGCATTGGCGAGTAGCACATTACTACTGTGCCACCATGTTTGGCCAGTCCTTGTTCTTGCTATAGATAATTAGAACATAATGTAAGCCGATGTCTTCCATACCAATTTTTTTTTTTTTTTTTTAGTTTGTTATAAGGCACATGCATTCACTGGAGGCAGAGAAACTGAGAGAGAGGAAAAGTGAGAAATCACCCCCCGGGTGATCCCGGGGGAGATGACCACACCACAGTCCCTTCTCCTCTGTTCTTCTCTTAGGATTTTGGGTATACCACGTACACGTGGTATGACTTTCAAGCCGCCCGGTCCGGGACTTTAACTGCACAGTCAACTCTGTGGGACCCTGAACCTCCAGGCTACTTGCTGATCCCATGCTAATGTATTTTAAATTTTAACATTTCTATCACTACATTATATATTAAATTTAGGGAATTAAAAAATATTTATCATCTTCAAATTAAAGAATATTTGAGAGTTAAATTACAAAAACAGGTATATTCATTTTTCTTATTGAGCTTTTCATGTCGAGCTGTACATTTTTACTTACCCACAATGCCCCAGGACACTACAGTTCCCTGATTTTTTTTTTTTTTTGGGGGGGGGAGGTTTTTGCTATAAGGCGTGTGCATTCACCAGAAAGACACATACACACACAGAGAAAGAGAGACAGGAAGCAAGAAATCACCCTTCAGGGGGAATGGCGACGCTGCAGTCCCTTCTCCATTCTCCTCTTGGGATCTTGGGCACGCACGCACACGTACCAGCGTGAGTTTAAGCCACTGGGTCCGGTACTTGAACTGCAGTCAACTACATGGGAGTCCAGCAGCATAGCCATTACACCCACTGCTGGTCCCCAGTTCCCTGATTTTTTAAAAAAGCATTATTTTTTTAATTTATTTATTATTATTATTGTACAAGAGTTTGGCCAGAGAAAGAGAGGAAGCAAGCCACCAGGTCCAGGACTTGAACCACAGTCGGCCATGTGAGAATTCCAGCACCTTAACCACTATGCCACATGCTGGCTCCCCCCAGTTTCCGATTTTTAAAAAATTATTATTATTAATTTGACTAGAGACAGAAGAGGAATGAGAAAGCAAGCCTCTAAGTCTGGGACTTGAATGCAGTCAGCCATGTGGGGAGTCCAGCACCTTAACTACCACGCCATCAGCTGGCCCCCACTTGCCTGATTTCAAAATGATTTAAAGTTTTAAAAATACAAAGTAATGAAAAATCTTATGGTAAAAATTAATGTGTCTTTTTCCAGGTGGCTGTCCTTGCCCTCCCAGTCAGAGCAGGCAGTAATGTCCCTGTCCAGCTCAGCCTGCCCGTTCTTGCTTACCTTACGAGACCGTTTACTTCAGTTAGAGCAGCAGCTTTGTTTCTCCTTATTTAAGATTTTCTGGCAAATGCTTGTGGAGAAGCTGGACGTATACATCTACCAGGAAGTAAGTAAGAGCAGACTGCATTTTTGGGCTGTGATAATAAAGGCAACTTTTATATGAATTATTCTTTGTTTCAGGTAATTCTCGCTAATCACTTCAACGAAGGAGGAGCAGCTCAGCTGCAGTTTGACATGACTCGGAATCTTTTCCCTTTGTTTTCTCACTATTGCAAGAGACCAGAAAATTACTTTAAACAGTAAGATCAATATTTAATGATTAATTACTGAGGTGTGAAATTGTTAGAGGACATCAACTCCTTTTTTAACAACTTTAGAGTTCCAGTGATGTTTGGTAGAACACTTGAAGTTTTAAAATATTCATTGTATATGTAATTTATGTTCAGAGCACAATGAGGAAACGAAGTAATATATAAAATGTGAACTAGGACCTCAGAAAACTTACCATAACTATGTATATAGTATAGATTAGGCTTTGTTTGCTAGCATTGGCTTAATGCTTCTATTTGCTTATTTTTGGGGGATTAGATAGAAAATGAAATCAAGTACAGATCTGCCATATTCGGTTAATATAATAAATGACAAATATGTTTATTGCTATATAATAGACCACATTTAAAGAAAACGTATATTGTTAATAAACATTTGATACTAATTTTGGTTCTAAATTATAAATATATCTAAAATAATCTTGGGGACCAGCAGTTAGTGTAATGGCTATGTCGCTGGACTCCCACGTAGTTGACCGCGATTCGCGTCCCGGATCCGGTGGCTTAAAACCCATGCCGGGTGCGTGTACGTGCATGCCCAAGATCCCGAGAAGAGTATGGAGGAGAAGGGATTGCGGTGTGGCCATCCCCCCTGGGGGGTGATTTTTCGCTTTCTGTCTCTGTCTCTCTCTGTCTGGCGAGCGCACGCGCCCTATAGCAAAATTAAAATTTAAATTATATATGGTATTGGTGAGATTAGAAAGCATTCTTTTAGTATTTATTTAGTTTTATTTATTATTTTTTTAAATTTGACCAGAGAGAGAGAGAGAGAGGGAAAGTGACAGCAAGTCACCAGGTTCATGACTCAAACCGTGGTTGATCATATGGGAATCCAGCACCTCAAAACCATGCCACCTGCTGGCTCCCTAAAGCATACCTTTTAAACATATTATATTGGGTCATCAGAAAAGTCATGATGCATTTTTGTATAGGAAAACAGAAAAAATACATCATGACTTTTCAGACGACCCAATAAAATGGAAACTTATTTAAGATGTGACTGACTACTTGCTTTTTTGCTTGCTCTACTTTTCTAATGCTTTCATTTATCCTTTAATTTTCTCTTTCCTATCTCCCAACTCACCTAAAATCACTCTACATTTAATAGACTCTTAGTATCAAATATTTTATGTAGAGAAATAATGGGTACATGTCAAAAACAATATTATTACTTTATAGAAATCTAATGCAATATAAACTCCATGTAGCTATGTAGTCTGAATAGTTAAAAGAGCCAAATGATCAATACACAAATAACTTTTATGGAGGACATTTGGGCCTGCAACACAGGAAAACTGTTTGGTTTTTCAAAATGAAATTGTTATAGGTCAGTTTGAATGATAAGATAATGAAAATCTCATTTCCTTTTTTTTTTTTTTTTTCCCCTCAACATATTTAATGATTAATTACTGAGGTGTGAAATTGTTAGAGGACATCAACTCCTTTTTTAACAACTTTAGAGTTCCAGTGATGTTTGGTAGAACACTTGAAGTTTTAAAATATTCATTGTATATGTAATTTATGTTCAGAGCACAATGAGGAAACGAAGTAATATATAAAATGTGAACTAGGACCTCAGAAAACTTACCATAACTATGTATATAGTATAGATTAGGCTTTGTTTGCTAGCATTGGCTTAATGCTTCTATTTGCTTATTTTTGGGGGATTAGATAGAAAATGAAATCAAGTACAGATCTGCCATATTCGGTTAATATAATAAATGACAAATATGTTTATTGCTATATAATAGACCACATTTAAAGAAAACGTATATTGTTAATAAACATTTGATACTAATTTTGGTTCTAAATTATAAATATATCTAAAATAATCTTGGGGACCAGCAGTTAGTGTAATGGCTATGTCGCTGGACTCCCACGTAGTTGACCGCGATTCGCGTCCCGGATCCGGTGGCTTAAAACCCATTCCGGGGGGCGGTACGTGCATGCCCAAGATCCCGAGAAGAGTATGGAGGAGAAGGGATTGCGGTGTGGCCATCCCCCCTGGGGGGGTGATTTTTCGCTTTCTGTCTCTGTCTCTCTCTGTCTGGCGAGCGCACGCTCCCTATAGCAAAAACCTAAAAAAAAAAAAAAAAACTTAGAAATATTTTCAAAATTTAAAATTGATTTAAAATTTAAATTATATATGGTATTGGTGAGATTAGAAAGCATTCTTTTAGTATTTATTTAGTTTTATTTATTATTTTTTTAAATTTGACCAGAGAGAGAGAGAGAGAGGGAAAGTGACAGCAAGTCACCAGGTTCATGACTCAAACCGTGGTTGATCATATGGGAATCCAGCACCTCAAAACCATGCCACCTGCTGGCTCCCTAAAGCATACCTTTTAAACATATTATATTGGGTCATCAGAAAAGTCATGATGCATTTTTGTATAGGAAAACAGAAAAAATACATCATGACTTTTCAGACGACCCAATAAAATGGAAACTTATTTAAGATGTGACTGACTACTTGCTTTTTTGCTTGCTCTACTTTTCTAATGCTTTCATTTATCCTTTAATTTTCTCTTTCCTATCTCCCAACTCACCTAAAATCACTCTACATTTAATAGACTCTTAGTATCAAATATTTTATGTAGAGAAATAATGGGTACATGTCAAAAACAATATTATTACTTTATAGAAATCTAATGCAATATAAACTCCATGTAGCTATGTAGTCTGAATAGTTAAAAGAGCCAAATGATCAATACACAAATAACTTTTATGGAGGACATTTGGGCCTGCAACACAGGAAAACTGTTTGGTTTTTCAAAATGAAATTGTTATAGGTCAGTTTGAATGATAAGATAATGAAAATCTCATTTCCTTTTTTTTTTTTTTTTTGCCCTCAACAGTGTAAAAGAAGCCTGTATTATTCTGAATTTGAACATCGGTTCTGCTCTCCTCCTGAAAGACGTACTACAGTCAGCTTCAGGGCAGCATCCTGCTGCTGCGGCACTAAATGAAGTTGGAATTTACAAACTGGCTCAACAAGATGTTGAGATTCTACTTAATTTGAGGACAAATTGGCCTAACACAGGGAAATAACATGTCTTTCAGAATTTTTTTATTTTTTATACATAGAGGAAGTCGGTTGGATTTCAAATGATGTGATGAGGTTCTGACTTAATGAACTGGATAACTAAAAACTCTTACACAATCAATTAATTCTCAGACTTTTTGTGGTGATACTAAAATGCCAACCATATTTCCTGAGTCCTCTTGTTCCTAAAAAAAACAGAAACAGAAAACTCAGAAACTATGAAAATTCAAAGTAATTTCATTTATAAATATAAATCTTGAATACATCTGTTGAAGAAAATACAGGAGCAGAGATAATAAATCATAACCAACTTTTCAGTTTCCTGTGCTAATTAAGGGAAAACTCTGTTATGGATAATCATAAACACAGGCAATAAATTTTTTTTTCAAAGAATTATTTAATTTTGTTTATTCATTCATTTATTTAAATTTGACCAGAGAGACAGAGACAGAGACAGAGAGAGAGGGAGAGGGAGAGGGAAAGTGAGAAAGCAAGCCACTAGGTCCAGGCCTCAAACCATGGACAGCCATGTGGGAGTGTCCAGCACCTTAACCACCATGCCACCTGCTGGTCCCCAGACAAGTTTTTAGAAATCATTTTAGAATGCATTTTTCTAATTGAGGTTCCCATATCTAGTTTAGGAAGTCAATGTTAGTTCCCTAAGAAGACACATTATGAGATGATGAATAAGGTAGGACTGTTTATTTCCCACAGATGTCTTTCCATTGAAAATCCCTCCTAGCTCTACTCTGTTTCAGTGAGTGAGCAACTTTTTCTTTCTCAGTGAAACATTTCAGGCCAGGGCACATTCCCTCAACTTTTCCTCTGTTGTAGGGAATGTCATTCAAACATCTGTTTAATATTTATGTGACTGATGATAAGATGAAAATATTAAACTTGCTTTTTTCATCTTTCTTAGTCTTGGCCTTGGGCTGTATTAAATAATGATTTCTTGATTAGTAAGTACTGAAAGAGTATAACTTTTAAACAAATCGGGTTATTTTAGATGGAGACTTTCTATTATCTATCAAATGTTATTCCAGTGGTTTTTCTTCAGACTCAGCATTTAGTTGATTCTTTTAATGCTGTAATCTCAAACCTAAAACTAACTGTCAGACTGTCATGTAACCTGGACTATTGATAAATATTTTATTTGGCAATAAATAATTTTAGGAACTATTTTGAGAAAAAGTCTATTACCATCTATTTCACATACAGCTTTTCAAACTCATGTGTTGAACACAAAGCTTTTCTGTTAGTTTTATTTTTTTAAGATTTATTTATTTAAAATTTTATTTATTATCATCATTGTTTCAATTTTGACCAGAGAGAAAGGGAGAGTGAGAAAGCAAGATGCCAGCTTTAGGACTGGAACTGTGGACAGCCACGTGGGAGTCCAGAGCCTTAACCACCACACCACCTGCCAGCCCCCTCTGTTCTATTAGCATATTGGGGCTTTTTCATCTAGTTCTTTGAAAATTGCTGAGGTGGGACCAGCAGATGGCGTGACGGTTACATTGTTGGATTTCCACGTAGTTGACTGCAGTTCTAGTCCTGGACCTGGCAGCGTAAAACTCTAGCCAGGTGCTTTTGTGTGTGTACCCTAAATCCCAAGAGGACAATGGAAGAGAAGGGCTTGCAGCATGGCCGTCCCCCCTGGGGAAGTGATTTCTTGCTTTACATCTCTCCAGCAAGCATATGTGCCCTATAGCAAAAATCTTTCTTAAAAAAATTGCTGAGATTTCCCATGGACAAAACAATGAAGAGGCTGCTCCTGGGCCCTAAATCCAGCATTTTTCTCCTCCCTTCCTTAGGCTTAGGGACTTTACTGTCTACCCTCCCTGTCCTCACAGGGAGATGAAGGTTTCAAGGAAATGAAATGTTTCAAAAGATAGAAGCGGGGGCGCTGGCAGGTGGCAGGGTGGTTGCGATGTGCTGGACTCCTACATGCCTGACTTTGGTTCAAGTCTCGGACCTGGTGGCTTGCTTTCTCACTTTCCCTTTCTCTCTCTCTGGGCAAATTAAAACAAAAATAATAATAACAAAGTTAAATAAATTTTTAAAAATAGGAATCGAAAGGTATCAGTTGTACTTCAAAATCATGCTGCCCTGGGAACCAGCAGTTAGCGTAATGGCTATGTCGCTGGACTCCCACGTAGTCGACCGCGGTTCGTGTCCCGGACCCGGTGGCTTAAAACTCACACCAGGCGCATGTGCGTGCGTGCCCAAGGTCCCGAGAGGAGAATGGAGGAGAAGGGATTGCGGCGTGACCATCTCCCCTGGGGGGTGATTTCTCGCTTTCTGTCTAAGGCACGTGCACTCTCCAGAAAGATAGACAGAAAGCGAGAAGTCACCCCCCAGTGGGGATGGCCACACCGCAATCCCTTCTCCATTCTCCTCTCGGGATCTTGGGCACGCACGCACATGCTCCTGGCGTGAGTTTTAAGCCACCGGGTCTGGGACACAAACTGCGATCGACTACATGGGAGTCCAGCGACATAGCCATTACGCTAACTGCTGATCCCTCAAAATCATGCTGCATTATTAAAACACTCATCATTTACAAATAGTACACCTTAAATCCCAGCTGTTTGGAAGGTTGAGGCAGGAAGATTGAGAGTTGGAAGCCAGCCTGGGCAACATAGACCCTATCTCAAAAAAACAGACAAAAAACTTACACTTCATTCCTGAATTTCTCCAAAGTTATTGCATGTCCATCATCTTTTAAAACTTCATCTTCCTTACACAGACCCAGGGTTTTTAGGGCTATAGAAGTCAGTAAGAAATGAAAATTTTAAAAGTGAGAAATATTTTCAGCTGGAGAAAATTAGGGAATAACTACAAACAATTACCTTAACCTGTGGATGATACTGACCTTCTTTATATTGCACAAATGATATGGAGCCTTTGTTGGAGGAGTCCATTATCTCAAACATAGCCACAATGTTGGAGTTATCCAAAAAGAAAGGAAAAGCTACGCCTGTTTCTTTGGCAATTCGCAGACGTTCCAGTTGAGATATTAAATATTCTCTTGGTTTTTCTGCAAAATGATAGTTTAGACTCTGATATGAAGTTAAAATATGTCACAGATGGAAATAGTTAGACAGTTACTAAACACCTATCTTCAAGGTGGTGCACTGAAGATACAGGCCTTGTATTCAGTCCAGCAGGCAAGGTGAGACAATGAATAACTACTCACATACACAAACAAACGCTCTACCTCAGATGACTGCATAGAAAAGCCCAGAATGGTCTTTCTCTTCCTCGGTGCTCCCTGTTACATGGCAGCCATCTCCTACCCTGCATCTTGGCCGCCCTCAGACTACTCATGAAGCCCAAGATCATCAAGAAGAGGACCAAGAAGTTCATCCAGCACCAGTCAGACCAGCATGGCAAAATTAAGCGTAACTGGCAGAAACCCAAAAGTATTAACAACAGGGTGTGGAGGAGATTCAAGGGCCAGATCTTGATGCCTAACATCGGTTACGGGAGCAACAAGAAAAAGCACATGCTGCCCAGAAGCTTCTGGAAGTTCCTGGCCCACAGTGCCAAGGAGCTGGAAGTGCTGCTGTTGTGCAGTAGGCCTGACTGTACTGGGATCGCTCACGTTTCCTCCAAGAACAGCAAGGCCATTGTGGAAAGAGCAGCCCAGCTGGCCATCAGTCACCAATCCCAACACCAGGCTGCACAGCAAAGATGAGCAGACAGCTCGTGTGCAGGTTTTATTTGTGTCTAAATAAAACCACAAACACCCCCTTCCCCCACCCCACCCCCAAAAAAGGAAAAGTCCAGAGTGGACCTGAGTGGTGGTTTGTTTTTAAATAAAAGCTCCCTTGGCACTTTTAATGTGCGGACAGGGTTGAAAACCAAAAAGATAGAAGAAACAGCATGATGCAAGAAAGTTGGCTGGTAAAAAGGAATAAACTATAGAGTAATGAAAGTAGAGACTTGAGTCAGCAGGTGGAGCAGAGTTTAAAGCAATGAGTCCCATGTGGCTGACTGCATGGTTTGAGTCCCAGACCCAACAGCTTGAAAATCATACCAGGTTCATGTCCTCGCATGCCTAAAATTCCAAGAAGGGGATGGGGATTACAGTGTGACCACTCCCCCTGGGGGGTTGATTTCTCACTTCCCCTCTCTCTATTTCTAGTGGGTGCACATGCCCTCTAGCAAACAAAATAAAACAAACCCCAAAATCAGAGACTGTTAGATGAATCTAGTCCTCCAATAAGGAAGCATAGTTTATTTCTAACATAAAAGAACTATTTTGGATAAATAGGTTATCTTTCATTTAAGCAACTTTAACAATTTAAAACCAAAAGTTCAGTCTGCTTTCCAGAAATTACGCAATGACAGTGGATAAAAAAAGGCCCGAGGAAGTAAAAGTGAGCGCTTAGATGGTAATGCCACTCCCACTGCACCTTCACTTTATTACTTCAGTCTTAGGTTTCACATATGTGTGTGTGTGTGTGTGTGTGTGTGTGTGTATTTATAATAGTGTGCATACATGAGAGAGAAAAATAAAACACCCTCGACAGGGTCCTGTCATGCTGTGATCCCTTCTGCTTAGCCCTCTGATCCTCAGAATCTTGGGTACCCATCCATAAGCTGGCATCTTCTTAGGCTGACTCAGGGATCTGAACATGGTTGGACATGTAGCTTCCAACTTTGCTATCTAGTATACTGGGGACTGTGCCATTTAGGCTGCGCCAATTATACTTCATCTTTTTTATTTTAAATAATTATTTAATTTTATTTATTATTATTATTGTTACTATTATTATTTTATTTGACCAAAGAGAGAGAAAGAGAGAGAAGGAAAGAAGAAAGCAAGCTGCCAGGTGCGGGACTCGAACTGTGGTTGGCAACTTGGGAGTCTAGTGTCGTAACCACCATGCCACCTGCTGGCCCCTACTTAATCTTAAATTATTTTTTAGGAACCAGCAGATGGCGTAACAGTTACACCACTGGACTATCATGTAGCTGATCATTTGTGTCCTGGACCAGGTGGCCTGAAACTCATGCTGGGCACATGTGCACACATGCCAATGATCCCAGGAGGAGAACAGAGAAGGGACTGCAGCATGGCCATCCCCTCTAGAGGGTGATTTTTTTTTTTTTAACTTTCTGTCTCTTTCTCTGTCTCCCCGGTGAGCACACATGCCCTGTAGCAAAAATCTCTAAAATAAATAAATAAATAGATAGATAAATAAATAAGTAAGTAAATTTTTAGGGCCAGCCTCACAGCCTAGTGGTTAAGGAGTGTGGATCCCACATGGCTGACTGCTATTCAAATCCTAGCCCTGGTATCTTGAAGAACATTGGACATATGTGCTTGTGTGCCCAAACTTCCAACAGGATGGAGAAATGGTGGAGAAGGATTTGCAGCAAAATTAAAACTCAGAGAGTGTGTGTGCTTACTGGGGAGTAAGAGGGAAAAACAGAGAAAAGGCAGAACGCTCCCTTCAGGGGGTATGGTCACACTGCAATTTCTTCTCCATCTCTCCCTCCTTTCTGGCTTTTGGGCACACATGCAAATATGCCCAGCATGTTTCTCAAACTACTGAGTCTGACACTCAAACCACAGTGTTGGCCATGTAAGATCTAGGGAGTTACGTGAAATCTGGTTCCCTTAACCATGGTGGCTGCCTTAACTACCACACCGCCAGCTGGCCTGTCCTTCAACAAATTTTTTTTTTTTTGGAGAGATTTTCGCTATAGGGTGCGTGTGCTCACCAGACAGACAGAGACAGACATAGAGACAGAAAGCGAGAAATCACCCCCCAGGGGGGATGGTCACGCCGCAATCCCTTCTCCTCCATTCTCCTCTCGGGATCTTGGGCATGCACGCACACGCGCCCGGCGTGAATTTTAAGCCACTGGGTCCAGGATGCAAACCGCGGTCGACTACGTGGGAGTCCAGCGACATAGCCATTACGCTAACTGCTGGTTCCCTCCTTCAACAAATTTTTTTAAAAAGCTACTGATATGCTCTAATTGAGAAAGTCATACATTTATAGAATAGATAGAAAATGATAATGAACTCATTACCAACTTCAACTGTTACAGCTTGTGGCCACTTAGTTCACTACAAGTCAATCAGCTTTCACCTCTTCCTATGTTATTTGGAAGAAAACAGTGATCCTATTTAATTTAACATATATTTAGGTGTGTATCCCTAAAAGATAAAGACTTTTTCTATTTTACATTATCACAACAACATTTACCCATCAAAAAAAATTTTTAACGTATCCTCAAATAGCCAGGCTTTGTTCAAATTTCCAGCTGTCTCAGAAATGTCATAAATTTTAAACACTTTGAAAATCAGTATTCAGGGCCGCCTCGCAGTGCAGTGTGAAGTGCTATGTGTGAAAACTGGATCCCACACAGCTGACTGCCTGTGCTGCCTGCCCCAAATCCTGAGACTGGATTGCAGTATGGCCATGTCCCCTAGGGGGAGCTTTCTCACCACTCTCTCTCTAGATCTCTCTGTCTCTGACTGGCAAGCCTATGTGCCGGATAGCAAATTAAAAACAAAACCTAAACGGTGTCCACATATTGTGATAGATTGTGTTTTAGTAATTAATTTTTTTAATTTGCCAGAGCATCTGTACATGTGCCAGAAACAGAGAGGCAGACAAAGAGGGTGAGAAAAAGCACCCCCCAATGGGGTGTTGTCATGCTTCATTCCTTTTTTCCCCATTTCTCCATCCTGTCAGGATTTGGTGCACACACTCCGGGCATTCCTTTTTAAATTTTTTTTTTTTTTGAGAGGTTTTTTCGCTATAAGGCGCGTGCGCTCACCAGACAGACAGAGACATAGAGACAGAAAGCGAGAAATCTCCCCCCAGGGGGGGATGGTCATGCTGCAATCCCTTCTCCTCCATTCTCCTCTCGGGATCTTGGGCACACACGCACACGCGCCTGGCGTGAGTTCTAAGCCACCGGGTCTGGGACGTGAACCGCGGTCGACTACGTGGGAATCCAGCGACATAGCCATTACACTAACTGCTGGTTCCTTCCTTTTTAAATTTTGCCAGAGAACTCCTGCACTTGTCAGAGAGAGACAGAAAAGAAAAATGAGAAACCATCCCCCATGGGGATTGATCACACCATAATTCTTTCTCCTCCACTTCTCCCTTTTGTCATGACTTTGGGCACACATGCACATGAGCCAGGCATGTTTTTCAACCCACTGGGATGTGAACCATGGAGGCTGTCATATGGGATCCAGTTGCTTTGACCACCACACCACCAGCTAGCACTTAGCATTTCGAGCTGATGGGGACAGGACTTGAACCACATGGTTGGCCATATGAAATCCAGCTCCCCTCAACAATGAAGCCATGATACCAGCCCTTTAAAATTTATTTTTTTAATTGATAAGTAAACATTGTATTTATTTTTGATGTACACTTTTTTGATATATGTGTACATTGTGAATGGCTAAATCAAATTACTTAAGAATTATCTCACATACTTATTTATTTTTAAATTGCCATAGGTGCATGTGCTCACTAGAGAGAGAGGGGGGGGATGCACCCCATAATGGGTTGTTGTCATGTTGCTATCCCTTCTCCATTTCTCCATCCTGTCAAGATTGAGGGCATGCACATACATGCACCTAGAGTCTTTTTTCAAGCTCCCAGGGCCAGGCTTCAAACTCTGGTCTACCACATGGAATCTGGTTCCCTTAACCATTAGGTTACAAGGCTGGCTAACCTTGCATTTTTTTTTTTTCCTTTTTTTGGAGAGGTTTTTGCTATAGGGCGTGTGTGCTCGCCACACAGACAGAGAGAGACAGAGAGACAGAAAGCGAGAAATCACCCCCCAGGGGGGATGGCCACGCCGCAATCCCTTCTCCTCCGTTCTCCTCTTGGGATCTTGGGCACGCATGCACACGCACCCGGCGTGAGATTAAGCCACCAGGTCTGGGACTCGAATCGTGGTCAACTATGTGGGAGTCCAGCGACATAGCCATTGCGCCAACTGCTGGTCCCACTCACCTTGCATTTTAAAATTTTTCCCTGTGGTAAGAAC